GGGGGGGGGGAGTTTGAGGTATGGAATGGAGTGAAGTCCAATCAGCTTCCATATGCAAAAGACCTTGAAACGCTGGGCGGGATTGCACAAAGCAGCCAGTCAACCCAGCCAGTGTCTTCTGATGGCCGTTCTTCCAGCCAAACACTAAAGGCGGGCATTTTAGAACTTGGTCCCCACTACTGCTTTATTATAAGGGAGAGATACACTCTCTCAAGGAGGAAATGCTTCTTCCCTTTTCCTCCATCCTAGTGTGCTATCAAGCAAAACAGACACAGGCAGATCTTCCCCACATTTTCTACACTACCTGAAAACCCACAACGGAGTGGGAGCCTATGACATGCCAGTGACCTTGCGTGGGGCACACAATGCGGAGGTCTGGGGATCCAAACAGGTTTGGGGAGGGAGGAGGAAAAGCAGGTAGGGCACGTCTGAGAAGGAAAAGAAACGCCGGCTGAGGAGGCGAGGGCAGGACCGGCATGGTTAACAATGGCCGGGACAGGACTGGGTTGATGGGCAAACCACCGCCGAACTTGCCTGGAAAAGCCGACGGGGGGGTCGCTATAAATCTGCTGCGACTTGATGGCACTTTCCACCACCGCATGTCAAACTAGGATTTCCCGTTATGAGGGGCTTCTAAATACGGGAAAACAGTTTTTACTGGTAGAATAATACCCTTTGGAGGGAATTAACCTATGTGGGGCCTCTCAAACTCGACGTGGCGTAGACCCGAGAACCATTCTGAGCCACGATCAATCCGGCGGCGGGTTACTATTCCTCTCCTCAGCCCCTTCCCCTCTTCCCGCTCCTCAGCCGCCGCGGCTTCCCCCCTCAGAGGCCCGCGCTCCGGCTCTCCCAACGCTAGTCGCGGGCTACCCGGCCTCCCCTTTCCCGCCCTCCGGAGTGGCTGCGCAGGCCTCTCGACAGGCCCTGCCCCCTTGGCGTGCGAGCGAGGGCGGGGGCTGGCTGGCTGGCTGGCGGGGGGGGGGGGTCAAGTGCTGCCAGAGGGTGCTCGCGTGGGTGCCCGTGGCCTTCATCGCCCTGGTCGTGGCCTGGTCCTACTACGCCTACGTGGTGGAGCTGTGTGTGTGTGAGTAAGCCTCGCCTTCGTGGACTGGCGCGGCAGGGACGGACGGGGCACTTCCCGCGGTGCCCCCCTGCGTCGCCGAGGCACAGAGCAGCCGCTCCAGCAGGGAGAGGTTCGCCGCCGCCGCCGCCGCCGCCCGACTCAGTTTCTTCATCTCTTCTTTGAACTGTAATGGCGATGGGAGGGGAAGAAATCCGCCTTTCCTCAGGTCGCTTCTGCCGGTAACCCGGCCAGCGCTTCCTCTGCTTCCTCGTTGCTAGTGGCATGGAGAATCAGCCAAGTCACCCCTCCAAAAGATAATTTGGGGGAGACTTGTTGCCTGACCTCTGCTCATCCTTGCCCCCAGCCGTCCACAGGATCACACCTGGACGCTTTTATCTTTCGGATCCTGGAAGAACGAACCAAACCCCCGTAGTCCGTACTTTGAGTTAGGGATGTGGATTAGAGTCTTTACTTATGTAGGTAAATCGAACCCTTTTTGCAAAGCTGCTTGTGGGTGCAACAGGGAGTTCAGAGGACGGTGAGCCAGTGGTTGAGATCCTGCTCAAGTAACCCTCTTTAGATTCCTCCTTTTGCCTTTGTGGTGCTGGCTGAGACAACTGGTGTGTCTTACTAAATCAGATGTTCCTGGGTGCTCAAATAATTGGGCTGGCCAATTTTTGCTGGTGGCTCGCTGCTTGGCCCCTTGTAATGCATGGCCACTAAGGGTGAGAATTAGAGGGCTTCCAAAGAGATTTACAAGTCCCTTTTACTCAGTAGCGTTTCCAGAGATGCAGGCAGCAGCAGCAGCTCTCTAGCACTTCTGCAGCACATTACAGTGCTTCTCTGGTCATTGCTGCTCAAATGAATGAACTGAAATGCTTTCTGGAGTGGTGGTGCAAGAAGGATTTAAACCCTCATCCCTTGAAATATTAAGAAAGTTTAGCATTCATTCCTTGAGAACAAAAAGTGTTAAAATGCAAAAATGTGTCCCAGCAAGCAAGAGATTGAAAAAAGACATGGGTACAATATGAATGTAGTTCTAAGCAGCTACTATGAAATCATAATGCTTGTTTTTACAGGTCTACTTAATGCAAGTTAAAATAAATAGGTTCTTGAGGTAGCTTAAAGACTAACAACATTTTGTTCCAGTATAGGTTTTTTTTTGTGGACTAGAACCTACTTCTGCACATACAATGAAGTGGGAAGTGACATAATTACGTTTTACCCTGTACTTCCTGCTCATTTTCTAAGGTGTTTCAAGACTGTTTACTTTTGTTGTAGCAGAACAAGACTTGTTCTTACAATTAAAAGACGAAACAGTAGATTTTTAAAGCTTGTTTTTAATTAATAATGAATCTGCCTAGAGAACTGGGAGCTGTCCAGATTAACCCAGAGTAATTGAGTTATTTTGAGTGTCTACCCTAAAAATGTACAGTGATTATTTCCTTCCATGATTATTCTGCTTTAAAAAATGTTTGAGTTAATTGTTTTACCTCACTTGAGTCTCTTTAGACCTGTAAAACATAACATTGTTTCAGAATTCTCTGAAGAAGGGGGGAGTATTTTCATTGCTTGTTTCCCTCCTCTTTTTTTAATGAAAAGGTTCAAGTTCCTTGTTTCACAAAATAAAACCAAATTTAAGAAGTTAATAAGTATAGTTAGGTTTGCAGTTCACTCCTATTTGGGTTGAGGAGGAAATAAGTCCTGCTGAACTCTATGAAGGACTGATGGAATATTTCAAGTGATTGACAGCATAGTTCTGTATTGCTTGAAGTGTGTTTATAAATTTATTTATTTATTTATATGCCGCCCTCCCCGAAGGCTCAGGGCGGCTAACAACGAGGCACAAGTGCCAGAGTTAAAACAGTGCTCCATTTATCGCAAGATGGGGTAGATCTTAATCCAATGGCAATTGGTCCCGCAACCTGTCATCCCCTCTCCTTCCAGGGTCACCTCACACCCAGATGGAACCACATATTAGTGGTAGTGGTGCAATGCTACATACATATCGGTGGTGGAATTGTAGTGGCGGCGGCTCCTATATTCTTGGCAAAGCTGTTGTTTCCCAGTGGACATAGTGTGCAACTGTGAACAGTAAGAATAATGTTGAAAACCTTCAGCAGGTGTAAATTCCCTTCCTGTTTTTCATCAGGCCACCATCTACCAGCCCTGGTTCTCTCTCTGTACACAAACGAATAATGAGTCACTTTGCAGGACTTGTTATACATGAAAGAAGGGTTGTACTTCATATGCAGTAGCAGGGGGTAGTTGGGTTAAGATTGTACCTTCTGGCCCCACCCCAATTTTTGTCTGCTGATCAGCAGTTTTGCAGGATCCAGGTTACCCTCCTGGGTTCTGAATGTTTGTGGGTTCTGCATCAGACCTCCTCACTGGCTATCCATTGATTTGATTGAACAGACTACTTTTACACAAAATACAGTCATCTAGATTGAAGCCCTGTGTGATGTTGGCTAGCTTCATGGTGACTTTATGACATCACTGGTAAAGCACTTGTATAGCTTCATATAGGAATCAAAAATGTTTTAACAAATGCATTATTTAGAGTGAAATATGTGCTAACCACACTTTCAGCAGAGTCCAGGCTTCTTCTTGGTTTTGTCCTATGAAAGTTCTTATGGCAGAATGCCTGAAGGATTGACTTGAGCTTATAGTGCAGTCGATAAAAAGTGTACTTATTTATTGTAGGAAGGTCAAATAAATCACAAAGTCATACAATTAAAAATGTGGGGTTGCATTGAGTATGGCATCCACTGCAAATCCACTGCAAATAAAAAATGGGAAAGGGTGGGATAATAATCCCATAAATAAATTAAAAGGCTATCTTCTATTTTCCTTTTACAGAACAGAAATTTAAAACAAGGGAAAAATAAAAGAAAGTTAAGAAAATATAGCATTTTGTAAATTTCTCCCTGAGGTTTTTTTCTTTCCACTTTTGTGGGTCATTTGATCCCCACTATTTATTTATTTTTACTTCATGTATATCTCACCTTTCTTCCTAATGAGGACTTGCAGCAGCTTAAATCTTTCTCATCTCCTCCATTTTAGTCCTCACAACAACCCTGTGAGGTAGGTTAGGCTGAGTGTGTGTGGCTGGCCCAAGGTCACCCAGCAAGCTTCCATGGCAGAGTGGGGAGTCAAACCTGGGTCTCCCAGATCCTAGTCTGACATTTGAATCACCACATCACGCTAGCTATGTGGGCAGGTGTTCAAAAATTCTATCATTGCAGGTCACATAACTGAAATACACAAAACTAGTTACTTAAAACCGTGGTTCTCAGCCTTTCACATCTGACATCCCACCAATCACTCTGTCAGAGAACTTGGGTCCTGTCATGATAAAAACAAAAGGTCTGCTTTTTCCAGGCATTCTGTTATACTACTACCCTGCCAAAAAAAAAGAGTCACAGATGGGACTTCCGGTGGACGGCGACTCGTGACAGTCACACCCCATCTAGCTCAGATGGGGGTGAATTGGATCGGGGTGGCAGGGAGAGAGATCGGCTGGTCCCGACCTCCCCATGAAGTTCCGGGAGGGAGCTTCTAGCCTGGAGCGCCAAAGGGGCCGCTCCCGAAGTTTCCGCTCAGGGGCACAGCGCTCCTTTCTGCTCCAACAGGTCCCTGGTCCCGAGGCCAGCAGTGGCGCTCAGAGACGTTACTGGACCAGAGAGTACAAGAACTTAACTACAAAGAAAATCTACGAGAAAAAGCAATCCAGCGATTAAACAAACAGTGAGTTAAGTGGCAAAAAGAAAGACATAGATAAAAAGGGTGATGGAAGAAATCGGCACAGCGAATCGGCTTAGCTTCAAAGAGACGAGGAGGGGACTCGCGGAGGAAGAACCCTACGCAGCAGTGAAATTGCAGCGTAGAAGCTAGCCAGACCCAGGCAATTAACACCCAATTTCCAAGTGGAATACAATGTCTCAGTGTGGGAGTAAAATGGCATCCAGAGGCAGAGGCTCTACAGGAAATGCCAGCACAGCATCACCAGTCACAAGACCGGAAAATACCAGCGAGTTAGCTACTGCAATCTCTGAAGCCATGCGCCCTCTGCTGGACCAGTTTACGAACCTCAATCAAAAATTTGACACTTTATAGAAAGAGCTCAAGGAAACTGCAGTCAAATCAGAGAAGTCAGCCAAAAAGATAAAAAAGGTTGAAGTTAAGACCAAAGAAATAGACCAAAGAATGGACAAGGTTGAAAAAGAAAGAACTTCTGAAAAGCAACAACTTCTACAGCTACAAATGGAAAGATCTTCATTCGTCCTTAGATTTCAAGGGGTACCAGAGAAAAAAGATGATAACTTAAGAGAAATTATAAGCAAAATCAAAAGCAAACCTGAATTAATACAAGCAGACATTGATATGATCTACAAAACCTATTCAGAGTTTGTAAAAAAAAAAAAATCTCCTAGGGGAAATTTTTGTAAAATTTGCAAAAAGATAAATAAGAGACTCAATACTCAAAGCATCTACAGCAACAACAGTCAACATTCAAGAAGAGGAGATTAAAATATTGAAAGACGTTCCATACGAAATACGCAAGAAAAGGAAGCGGTATAGAAATATCACAGCATTCCTCCAAAAGAACAATGTCCAATACAGATGGATTTTTCCAGAAGGACTTTTATTCAGCTTTAAGGAGAAGAAGGAAAAGATTGACTCTCTATTAAAAGCAGAACTCTTTCCTAAACAACAACAGTCTTCAACTAAACAAAGAAACGGAGCAGAGGAAGAGAAGGCAACGGGAAAAAACAACGAACAACAGAAATCCGATACAGATAGTTCATCTTCTACAGGTCTTCCCTGTCTCTGGGTGAAATCTTTGACTCTGACTCAGATTCAGATTTAGGAGATGCAGCTCCTAAAACATTTAAAGTAAATATCCCCTGGCAAAAGAAGAAGAAAACCAAAGCTAAGAAGAAAGCTAAGGGATGAGCTGTGATTTTATATGTTGGCATTTAATCTATTCAGATTATTAATCAGATGTGATGTAATAC